GTTAAATATTATATCATGATCAAATACTGATATTGTGATCAAGTAGAGTTTAACATCAGAAAATCGAGCCATGAATTTGCTTCATTAATGGATTCTAAACGAGAAATGTAAAATAATTAAATCAATAGTAACAAAAAATCTTTTGATAAAGTTCAGTATCTATCATTATTAGGTTTAAAAACTGAGATACCTTTCTTAACTTGATAAAATCTATATACCAAAAACCTAGAGCAAATGTGAATTTAAAAGAGGTGTTTAAGAGTATTGTCTTGAAAACTGGGAGTGAGACAAAACTGTTTGGTGTCACTCCTGTGTTCAGTACAGTAGAAGAAGGCCTGTCTAATACAGTAAGAAAAATTTAAGAAGAGGGGGAAAGAGAGGGTTAGAATGCTGGAAGAGACAAAATTTGAATGGCAGTTACTTATATGGAGAGGTTAGGAGCATAGACTGTAGACCCAGACTACAAGTTTTAAATTTAGAATCTCGGATCTGTCACTTTTCATAACCTCAGGCATGTCCCTTAACCTCAGTTCTTTTACTGGTAAAGCAAAGACAATAATACCCACTTTGTTGGGTGGTTGTTGAGATTAAATGAGCTCATTTAAATGAATGCATGTATTTATTTACTTAGTTGCTAATAAAATAGTATGATATGACCATCCACATAGAAAACCTAAAAGAATCAGCAAATCATTAAAGACTATGAAAAATAAAGTTTAGCAAGGTTTCTAGATTCAAGATCAGTTTACTAATATCAGTAACGTTCCTCTACACCAACTATAATAGAAAGTAATATACCATTCACAATATATCTTAAGCTGGTAGTGGATACATGGGCATTTGCTTTATTATCATTTTAAGCATTATGTATTCTTTTGCATGTGTGATATTTATAATAAAAACTTATAGAAGATTTTTTCTCTACTTCTAACAACATAAAAATAATTTGTGGAAGTCAGTGGTTATCATTTAGATAAATCTTTAACAAAAATTAACTTTCCTAACACATCATACATTATATTTATTTTGCAGGATGGGTCTAATTAATGAATATGCAGAATAAAGAGACCAAGATCCAAATATACCCATCTATATGTACGCATATGATGTAAATATCAAATCTATTAAATAGGTTTAAATCTTCTCTGCCTGGAGGCAAAATATTTTACCATGCTATAAGCAGTAAACCAGAATACCTGCTCTTGCCTTCTGTTCATGTACTCCTCCTTGCAAAGTCACTGGGGCATTTTTGAGTGTGTGCAGTGAGGCTCTATATGAAGGATGGCTTTATCCTTTCCTCTGACAGCTGGGTGTAGAAGGGTTCTCCTGTTGTTGTCATGTAAAGTCTCAACAAAACAGCTTTTGAGATGGCTGACCTTCATCATCTCATGACTAAATCCAGGGACCATTTTATCCCACTGTATTTTATTCAGGTTCCTCTCTCTCCAAAGTTCTTTCCTTCCCTTTGCTGTTACAAAATAAAATTTTCTGCGTGAATCAGTTAACTGACATTTATTGAGCATTTCCAATATGCCAGGAATCATTTTACGAGCTTTATATTAACTCATTCATTCCTAAGGACACACTCCTAAATTGGTTACTCCTCTTGTCTCCATTTTACGAATGAGAAACCACTACACAGCAAGATTAATCAATGGTGGAGCCCACATTCAAATCCAGGCTTTCAGATTCTACAATCCTTGCTCTTTATCACTCTCAGTAGTGCCTGTTATTACCAAAAATAGTCTCTAGGAGTGAGGCAGCTGAAGGGGACTCTCTACATGAGTTGTTGCTCAACCAGATTAGTGGTTTGATACATAAATAGTATGTATAATTATATTTCCATCAAACAAATGATAATTCCTTCTCAATTGGGCAGAATATAGTGGACATATCATGGGATTTGTGAATTAAATGGTACTTGGCTCTTAACTTGAGCTTCATTTTTCCTTTAATGTTACTTTGGACTATATACTGTAACTCCCCTAGCCTCCATTTCTTTGTCTTTTAAAATAGAGAGGATGATGCTTTCTTTAAAATAGGAATATTCTTCTTAGAGTAAATAAGAAAATGTACCTAAAGTAGCCAGCATAATGCACAAAGCACTTGGAAGGCAGCCACCCAGAATTAGTTTATTTTTTCTTTTCCTTTCTAGAAAGTAAGAAAAGTAAACTGTCAAATACTGTTTCACTATACTGCTTCTAGTCATATTCCTTTAGTAAAGTAGAGCTCAAGATGGTGAAGATGGTCCTTCTCAAGATTCTATATGCTGTACATAATAAAACAATTTTCTGCTGTAAGCTACCAGTGAAACTTAAAACTCAATTCCATGAATTCCATGTTATGCTAGTTGCAATACTGATTGTTATTTCTTCTGGGGTGGGTATGCACAGGTGATCTGCAGAACACAAAAAGAATCTGCAATGAAAAATACTTCCCTTTGGTAAAATACTCGAAGCTACTGCTACCAAGGGCTCCATAATTTATATAATCAGTTTTGGGTAACTATATTAAAATATACTGTCTTAACTTAATAATATTAATACCATGATTATATTTGAAGTTTAGAAGTACAAATACAATTTGTAATTGTTGATGTAATGCCTAATTCTTAAACTCCTAAGAATAAAAAGAAACATGTCTTAGTCTGTTCAGACTGCTCTAACAAAATACAGCAGAGTAGGTCACTTGTGAATATGGAAATTTATTTGCTCATAGTTCTGGAGGCTGGAAGTCCATGATCAGGGTGCTGGCTTTGGTTTGGTTCTGGTGGTGGCCCTTTTCTGGGTTGCAGACTATTGACTTCCTGCTGTGTTCTCACCTGGTGGAAGGGCAAACATTTTAAGATACCAGTCACAAGCTCAAAAAAATTACATAGGAGTTAACCTAATAAAGAATGCACAGGACAATACAAATATTTATAAGTGATTACTTCAGGTGCACATTGGTCAAAACAGAAGAGTTGATATTTGGCATAGAGAGAGGGAGACAGTAAACAGATAAACACAAGTGGAGCTAAGTGTCATTAAGAAATTATAGAGCTGGATAAGGGAGATTGTGAATAATGTTACATGGCTCCTCTATTTTATATAGGGTGCTGAGGGAAGACACTGAGGTTAAAGATGACGTTCAAACAGGTTCGAAAAAGGTGAGGGAGTGAGAGCTTTGTGGACGTCTGGGGATAGGGATTGGCATGTTGATGAATGGCTGGAGGCTGGGATTGAGGATGGGGTGGGAGGTGAAGTAGCACTGAGGGATAAGGAAGTGAGATACGAGGTTGGAGACCAGATCACAAGAGAAACACTTTTCAAACTCTTTTGATCATGACCCCAGAAAACACACATACACATTGTACATTGTTAACCAAGAATACACACATATAGAACAGAAACAAAGTTCATTGAAACAAGACTTATTCTTACTACATGTAATGCATTTAGTGTTTTTTCTTTTTTTTTTCTGTTCTATTTCATTCTTAAAAAAATGCTGGTTTTGCGGCACTAAATTGATTACATGGACTTACAATAATGCAAACTTTGGATTTTACTCTGCAGTGGGAAGCCAACCGAAACTTCTGAGAATAGGAGAGGCATGATCTCATCTGCTTTATTTTTAAAATGAATCCATATTGTTAAAATTTAATTTTTGGAGATTTCAAACATACACAAAAGTAGAGGTCATAGCATAAGGAACTCTCACTTATCTATCACCCACTGTCAACAACTATCCACAATTTGCCATTCCTGCTGCACCTATCACCCACACATTTAAAATAAAACCGTTAGACTAACTGAGGACTTTAGGATTTGGTGGAGTGTATGGGGAGGGAGAAGTCCAGCTGGCAGAGTGTTTCATGAAGTTTCCCTACTGAACCCCAAATTGTGGAGGCCTCAGCATTTCTTCAGGAATCCTGGCACAAGGATTTCATGGTCGAGGGTTTACTTTCTTTACAGTGGCATCTTTGCGGATGTCCAGAGCATTCTGGCAGAAAAGAGCTTATAAAGACAGGATCCAGGACTCAGGTAGGCAGACTGGATAGGCTGCATTTAGAGAGAAAGTCTCCTTCTCAAGAGTGCAGTGGGTGGTAAGTCTGGGGCTTTCTGGAATTTGGAGTAGCATCCTCTCCACACCTCCAGTTGAGACCAACAACGCAACTGTCTGCAGTCTTGTCCCAGTAGAACTTGGGACTGCATCCTGATGGACCCTTCATGGAGAGTCGGCCGCAGAATGTACCCCCAAGATTAATTAACAACCTAAATTAACAACGTGGATACAGATAAAATAAATACCAAGGGATCTGGAGGACTGTCATGGATATGCAAGAGTCAGCAAACAGGAGGTAACAGGAATAACGGGACACTTTTCTGGGCAGAGGCATGTGAACACTGTGGTGCTAAGGACTCTCAGCTGGATGTAGTAAGGTTCTCCTGCCGGTGCTTATACATCAGCTGCATTCACCGCCCAGGGAGGATCCTACGCTGCAGTGATGGGAATCCCAAAGGCCGTCAAAGGACCCCGCGCTCCGAGCTGAGGGTGCTGGAGCGTGGGAAGCACTGAAGAACTAGCTACAGAATGTGAGCAGCGCATCACCAGGATTCTTGGAAAGATGCAGAACCCAAAGAGTGGGACTATTGTGTCGGGCTTCCTGAAGCAGGGCTGCAGCTCCGCTCATTCTGTGGTGAGTGACCAAAGGGACAAGCTCCTCGGACTAGATCTCTGCTCTCCAGACACCCTTCACCCAAACACTCTCAACAGTCATTGATGGCGCAGTGAACGTCCCCAAAGGCTCCTGTCCACTTTGGCAGCGGCGGCCAACGTTAAGCTGTCTTTTCAGGGCCGCGCGAAGGCTTGCTGTAGGCAGAACAAACCGGGTGGTCAGAGATGAGCAGCGCTCTCAATCCAGCCTCAGCCTGGCATTTAGACCCCGGCTCCCGCCAGGGCCGGACTACGTTTCCCAGGGGCCTCTGCGCGCGCTTCCGCTTCCGGACCCTTCGTCTGGACGCGCTCGGCTGTCAGCTTCGTTGCGCTGGTTCCGCTCCCTTGCGGCGACCCGCCCCGTGTCTGGACCGGGGAGGAGCAGACGCTGGACGGGGGTGTGTTTCCAGCAGGGGACTGTGAGGCCTGGGGGTCTGGCCGTGTCCCAGTGGGGTGCTCCCTGAGCCCGCTGATCCGACCATAATCCCTTCTGCTGGAGCTGTGGTGCTGTCCGAATGGGCTCGGCCACCTTGCTCCTGCCCCTCTGCCCTGGGTTTGGTGTGTACGTGACGGCGGGGTGTACGTGTGTTTAATATCTGACACACCTCCGGGTCCTTTGCTGAGAAACGGGCTGAGGGCCCGCACAGGCTGAAGCTTTCGGCTGGATGGTGAGGGAGGTAGGGCCCTAGACTTCCAGGGCCCCAGAGTCAGAGACCATGGCGCCTGCACCCTTGTGTCCCTGTGATCCATTGTATAGACTCAGACAATTAACATGGGAGGGCGTGGATACTGCAGGAGATCCTTCAGTCTAAATCACGGGAAAGCTGTATTGCTTAGTAATGTCACTAGATGTTTCTGAGCTATGCACCTCCTGTTCCTCATCTGTAAGTGAAGTTTATTCTTCCTACCTTACGTGGTCATGAGAATCAAATGGCATTTTGATATGAAACGGTTGACACAGTGCCAGGCACCAAGTAAGGGCTCAATCAATAGCGATTATTAATAGAAGTCATCCGCCTCACTATTTGTACATAAAAAGAAACAAACCTAGGGAAGAAAAATTAACTTGTTCTGTGTCACCCACCCAACTGGTACATAAGAGAAATTAGAACCAGGTGCCCTTACCCCCAGCAGGGCACTTTTCACCGTGGTTGGTGCTTATGTATCTTTCAAGCATGTTGGTAACCATTTCTTAACCTGTTATGTGTGATTGTGCTCCTGGGTGTCTGTTTTTGCAGGGCACTGGGGTAAAGATTATATCCAGATTTGTCTGTATTTAGGGCTTCCTGAAGACTGTGTGACTATCGAAGTTCTCAACTCAAAAGATACTACTTCAGACTCTCTGATGACTGTTATGAGTGGGGTGGCAGAATGAAAAAGATATACAATGAAAAAGGAGAAAAATTCAACCCAGAATCTCTTGCTAGAGTTTCGGAGAGAGGGCTGGTAATTCCCAGGAAGAGGCATGGAGGACTTGGGTGAGGCTGCTACACCCAAACGGTGGTGTATGTGGCGATGGAGGATCGGACCCACAAACTCCAGAACAGAGGTAAGAAATACAAGGGAGAGAGGGTTCTACCATTTGCTGGGCATGTACAGTGTGTACCCATAATCTCATTTTAGTTTTTCTTTACAACAGCTTTGTAAAATGTGTGTGGGCAGCTCTGAGGCCTTGGACAAGGCATCAGTTTCCTCATTTGTAAAAGGTGATTTATGGAAAGCATCTGGTACATGGTGAGTGCTTTATAAGTAGGAGTTATTTTCCTAACATCCCCTTTTTATTTGAAGCTCCAAAAAAAGTTAAAACATCTTACCTGCCACACTCTTTCTATTAATACCAGATGCCTTTCCCAAGGGAGAGAGAGGGGGCAAGTCAGACTTCCTGGGAGGAGAGAAGGAAATGGGCTGATGATTGGACTGCACAGTACAGCCCATGGGATCGCTCAGCTGCAGAGCTGGGGCCTGCATCTGCAGGGTCCATGGCCTTGCCACCCATTCTGACAGGATTGGGAGCTGCTCTGGACTTCCTTTCAATTTCCCCTTAAGAAGTGTTGTGTCTTAAGGAGCTACAAAGGGATGATCCATATTGGAGGGGCTCCCATAGTCTGTCTCCAGTCTGTGTGGCTTTCTGCCCTCAGCCGCTGTGATTTCCCAAGGCCCTGGAACCTAGGGTTTCCTCTCTCTACCCCTGTCCTCCACTGATTGTCAGAGTTCAGTTCCAGCAGGGGGCAGGCATCTTGTGTCTTGTGAGCAAGTGGAGGCTTGGAGTATGACTAAACATATTGGTTATACTTTTTGTTTTCATAAAACAAAGGATAGAAAGAAAACTCCATAAAATTTTGGCTAGGGGGTGACATGCAGAAAATAATAAGAAAAAAATGAACTGATAATTAAATGATTTTATTGAATGCTTATTCTGTATCAGGTACTGATTTGGACCCTTTCTATACATTAATGTGCAAGTGCTTCAAGGTAGGTGCCATTATTACCCCCAAATTTCAAATGAGGAAACTGAAGCACAGACACAGCTCGCCTATGGCCATTCAGAGCCAGGATTTAAAGCAGGCAGACAGACTCCAGAGCCAGTGTTCTAGTGAGAGACCATTGTAGGAGGCATAGATTTTTTAAAAACTTGTGAAACCCTGTACTGTTTACAGTGACAGGACTTCAAATTCCTACTTCTTCCCCAAATAAATTTAAAGCCCACAATGGGCTTTAAATATTGCTTTTTTGGGGAAAGAAAGAAACTAGAATATTCAGAAAACACAAAATCATTTATAGAATAAAATAAATAGCATGTAACCCCTATTACCGTGAGAAAAGCTCAAAGAAGAGCTGAAATTTAATATGCTCAGCAGTTTTCTCCCAATAGGCGAATAATCAAAATGGGAAAGTAAATTATGAGCAGTAGGTTGCTTGATGGGCATGGAGTCAGAGGGAGTGAATGGATCATTAATTTGTTCACAACACTTTGGGCCTGTTGCCTGTGAGGCACACTGTGTTGGATGCTTAGGATGTAGTGGAGAATGAGGTGACACATTGCAATTTAGCGGCTCATGTATGTGTGTGGTGGAATTAATCTAGGGTGGCTGCAGTCACACTGTGGGCCTAGAGTACTCGTGATTTGGTGGCTTAAGGTCCTTGTGTCCCTGACTGCAGGGATGGGCACTGCTGCCCTTTGCCTCTCTGGCTTCTTTTTTCATGTTCTTTGAAGTTGGAAAATTTCTCCATTTGTGATTAAAGAAGTTGACGCTACAGGCCTCTAAGCTTCCCTTCAGCCCTTCATGACATGTGCTGGTTTTTGGTCACAGGGATCTCAGTCTCCGAGCACAGGCTCAGGCATATCCTGAACCCAGTGAATGGTCAGATCTTGCCCCAAGTTTACATTCATTCTACTCTCTGAGGTGATGAAGCCTCATTACTTAATGTCTGTGCAGTACTTCAGATACTATGACAGCCAAGGTCAGAGGCACATTTTGTTGGAAGAGGCTATTTCTATCTAGTAGGTCTGTGATACATAATGATAAACAGGATTCCTTTATTACACTTCCCTTCTAGCTCTGTCATCTAGGGACTCTGCCGTTTCCCCAAAAGGTATATTGAGGAGTAGAATATGGCCTTGGTTCTCCACTCAACCAAGTCCCAAGTGAGTTGGGAATTTTCCTCTTCCCTCTGAAATCTCATTTTAATTCCTAAAGCAAAGAAATTTCTTTCTCTTAGCATGAAGCTTGTCAGCCTGTTAGCATCAGCAGTTTTAAAAGATAGGATCAAGTGGGTCCGATGGACTGCCAACAAAATGGTGACTGGGTGTTGCTTAGTTGTGTAGAAGTAGCAGTGAAGATCGGGGCCTTGGCAGTTTCTCCCATCAGTTGGTAGGAGAGGGCATGGGGAATATGGGGCCTCTTAGCACATAGTTGAAGAGGAGGACTGATAGAGGTGGTTGGGTGAGAATCAAGCTTCCATTTGTTTACTTGAGACATCTGGCTCAGATAAGCAAAGGCATATGAGACAGCTCTGCACCTGTTTGCTTATAATTTTCTCCGTGGGGAGGAAAGACATGTAGACAAATCTGTGTGGTGCAATACCAGCAGATTTAAGGAGGCCTACTCAGCAATAAAGTGCTTTGGGGAAAATGTGTGAATTCAGAGAGTGAGCAGGCGGGTCTGGGTAAGAGAGAGGGAAGGCTTTATTCCTTCAACCAGCCCGACAACCTCCCCACCCCTGCTAATGGTAGCAGTGAGCTTTGAAGTAGGCCCTGAAGGATGAGCAGATTTTTGAGGAGAAAGATTTGAAAAGTCAGTGACATAAATGGCTTAGAATGGAGAAGAGATACTACTCTGAGGCAAGAAAAAGAAAGTACATTGAAAACATGGGTTTATTGTCCTACAGAAACTTAAGAGGCTGCCAATCTGTTTGCAGTGTACTAATAATCACACCCAAAGTTCTTTCCTAAATATAATTCTCAAGCTTGGTATATTTCTCAGTTTCTTACTTACCATGCATGTCTCTTTCTTAATATAATGAAGATAAGCTTAAGGCCAGCTGAATGCTAGGCTTGGATGGGAAGGCCATATCCTTAATCTGATCTGTTTAAGTCATTTTGTTCAGCTGAGAAGTTTTAATGGGCCTTTGTTGCTCAAATTTCTTTTCAAACTTACTTCCTACTGTATGAGATGTAGAAACAGTTTGCTTTTGCAGGCATATGAAGCCCCAGATTTCTGGACTCTGTATTCCATTTTTTTTTAGCTTGAAAATTGGCCAGTCCTTTACTGAGCTCAGCTCTTCTTCTTTGCCAGATATATCCCGCAGCATCCCACACCATCTAGCATTCTGCCTCTTTCCAACCTCCTCCCTGGGAGCCATAGCCACAGTGAGCTTTTGGTCTGCCTTCACAGTTATTAAATTATTTTGCTAGTATATATCAAGAGCCTACAATGTTCTAGTTTAAATATCCATCTTCTTGAAACCTGCCACCTGCTTGTCAAGCCAATGCCACCATTATCTTTTAGATTTTTGTTATGCTACCTTCCTCTTTTAAGAGGCTGATTTCTGAATTAGGGTTGGCTAGCGTATAATTAGTATAACCAGTAGACCCCAAATATACATAGGCCCTAATATAATGGAAGTTTATTTCTTGTTCTTGTGACCATATGATTGGGTGGCCATTCAGAACCTTGTTATGTGAAGCTCTAGTATCTTTACCACATGGGTCCCAAACTCACTTTGGGTCATCTCTACACCAGCCAGCCAGAAGGGGACAGCATCATGGAGGAATGTGTGTTGAGTCAGGCCTGGAAGTGGTGTACCTTCCTTCTGCTTCCATTCTGTTGGCTATAATTCAGTCAAATGGCCACATCTAACTACAGAGGAGGTTGGGAAATGTTTGTGTACCTTGAAAGGTCAGGAGGAAGTGTATTTTAGTGAGTAATTAGCAGTTTCTGCCACTCTCCTCATATATTTAGATTATTTAGTCTTATTTTGCTATTGTAAGTTATAATGTTTATTTCTAACTTTTTTCATATTGTGATCATTTTCTTATAATTATTTTTAGATATGAAATTGCCATGTCAAAAGAACGTACATATTTTAAGACTCTTAAGCATACAAGTGAATAAAATCTTGCCTTTGAAACCTGTGCGTGCTTGGATCCATTTCCTCCCCATCCCATCAATTGCCCCTAATTATGCCTCATTTAACCTTTTCTTCAGAATCACATGCAGAAGGTTCAGGGCTTTGTGTCATTCAAGGATGTGGCTGTGAATTTCACTGAGGAAGAATGGAGTGAACTGGATCCTTCTCAGAGAGTCTTGTACAGGGACGTGATGCTAGAGAACTATAGGCACCTGGTCTCCTTGGGTGAGGTTGGGTGCGCACACCTTGGGTAGGCCTCTTGGATAGCTTTGCTTTCTAAAGATGCCCTTGCTCCTGTTAGGGGAAGATAACAAATAAGGCTTTGGGTTTTCTTTTTTCTCCTCCAGAATCCAGAGCTGATCCTTAAACTGTTTCTCACTCTCTTTGGGTAGAAATACTCAATTTCTTCCAACAGTTAGTTATTCTGTCTTTTGCTCTCAAAAAGATAACATAGTGGGACTGTGAATGGGGTGGTGCTTTGTCTTTTGAAGTCACATTCTGTTTCTTTCCCTTGAGTAGGATTTCCATTTCCTAAGCCTGGTGTCATCTCCCAATTGGAACTAGCTGTAAACCCATGGATGCAGAAGGGAGATGTGCTAAGAAGCAGCTTTACACGTAAGTGAAACAAGGCAGATGTCTTTGAAATATGAGTTAGGGTTCCTCCCCCAATCCTCCAGGTCTGTAGGAAATATTGAGACCCCTCTAGTCTCATCTTCACTTGGACATATCAGAGTCATAATAGCCTGACTCTCTACTTCCCAGACTCAACAAAGAGATACTTCCTACTTAAGTTATAACCCTAACACTGGATGCAGAGATCACTTTTATCTTCTCCCCAAGTATTTTTTGAGGTCATTTCCTTCTGTCTAGTAACTGGGATCTCTTCTTCATTTACTTTGTCTTCATCAACCCTCGTTTTTTCCTACAAAAGTATGAAGGGAATGAAAGAATTTGAATGTAATTTTAAGGAATATAATCTTACATCTAATTTTAAGGTTGTAAAATTGACAGAATTCCCTGAGTATATATGGGAATAAGGGAGAAACAAAGATAATTCCCAGGTTTCTGGTTTCTGTGTAGGTCTATGGAAATTCTCTTCCCTGAGATGGAGAACACAAGAGAAGAAGCAAGTTTGTGGTGGAAGCAGTCAGTAGAAGATGAGTCCTGTTTATCCTAAGTTGTTTGAAGTGTCTGTAACAGGTCTCAACCAGGGATGATTTTGTCCCCAGGGGACACTGGCAGTTTTGAAGACTGGGAGGGGCTATAGACATCTTGTGGGTAGAGGCCAAGGATATGGCTAAACAGTGCACAAGACAGCCCCTCACATAAGGCTTGTCTTGCCGAAATGTCCATAGTGCTGCATTTGAGAAATTCTGGTCTGTGTAGATGTCTGGGTGGTAGATGAATACAAGGAGGAACTGTCAAATAGGTCTTGATGAAGGAAAGAGATCTTAACTATTGGTACAGATTTGGGAATCATTTGAGAATAATGGTCACTGAAGTCATGGGATAAGATCACCCATAGTGATCTCACTGTGAAGTGAGATGCATGAAAAAAGTTGCAAGTGAAACTCGAAGCCCAATAAGCATACACATTTAAATATCTGCTATCTCTCTATGTATCTATATCACTGGTATAATTGTTCAAAAGTAAATCATAGGGAAAATACTGATGTCAAAATAATACAATGGTAATAATTTTTAATAAGATGATGGCAGTAGAGATATATAAATTTTTATATTCCTTAAATTTATCAATATAAATAAAAGAAAGAGAGTCCAGAAGGGATACTAAGAAAGGGTGACCAGAGTGAGGAGGCAGCCAGGTCTGCTTGTCATAGAAGCCAGTAGAAAAGAGCATTTCAAGGGGAGGAAGGGCTTACAGTGTTATATGCAAGAGAGATCAAGTAAAAAAGCTGGAAAGTATCCATTAGGTTTAATATTAATAGCTGGCTCGTTGTTTTTGGTAACTTAATAGTGGATTAGTCTCTTGCTACCATCTCTGTCCCTTGCTTAACTTCCATTGTTTTCTAACTTTTGTACATTTTCATACATTACATAAGGTTGTCAAATCTACATAAGGTTACTTTGAAAATAGTCCTCAACTTACAAGGACTTATGTGTTATGTTTGTTTTACCTATAATATGAAAGAGTACTTAAAAAATCTCTGATGATAATGTTCCAATTTTATAACAATTAAAAAGTATGTTGTGTAATTTACCCATAAGAAGGCTGAGCTAGTAGTAGGCCTGATCCCCTGATCTCATAAAATTTTTGCATTCTCCTGAACTTTGACTCTCTGTAAGCTTTTGGTGCATGCATGCATTTGTGTGTGTGTGTATGAAAGATGAAAAAAAGTGAAGGCTGGAGGAAATCTCTGGCAAATTGTAACATGTAGGGTAGCAAAGGAAAATATGGGAAATGATATTACTGAATTTGATAGTAACCCCAGCAGTAATCAAGGAGAGTTTCTGGGAGACTGTGCCAGTCAGAGTGGGATATATAGGCATTGAATGATGACCCTAGCTGGGGTGAACTCCAGACAAGGGGCAGGGTAGAGGGTGATGGTATCAAAAAGCAGGGAAGATTCCAGTGGTTCAGAGGCTAGGGTAGTTAGCATTCTTATGTTCAATACCAATCATTTCCCAGCTGAGATCTCCCTAACACATTATTTTGTACCATTGATCATGCTTGAAATGATTAATATCTGTCTGCCTCAGTAGAATATAAATCTCAAAATATATCTGGGACTGTATCTGTTTTTATCATTGAATCCTAGTACATTACATGGTGCCTAGTCTATAATAGATATCCAATAACTTATTTGTTGACTTACATATTTGACTACTGGTATTTATGCAGTTGTTATCTCATTCCTGCTTTAGCCACTTCCTTCTAGTACAGAGAACATTTTTACTTCCCCTCCCCCCCAGACTTGGAGACCAGAAAGTTGACACCAAAGATGGAATTTTCTGAAAAAAAAATTATACTGGGGGATAAATATGGAGAGAAGCACAGAGGCTGATGCAAGGATCTCTAGTTTGAAAGATACCTGGTGATTTGCAAAGATCAAAGAGGATGCACAAGATAGACTTTGAAAAGAAGCAACAGTTATCTGCAAGAAAAGAACTCCCATTGCAGATAGTAACTCCAAATGTATTGAATTTGGAAAGTTAGTTTGAAGTATGACTTTGTTATAAAACCAATACATCCTGAAGAGGAAATACATTATACATATGATGCTCCAGGAAAGAGCTCCAAGCAGACTTCAAAATTATCCAGACATCAGAAAGATAGCACAACTGAGAAAGTTTTCAGTGTAATGCATGTAATAAAATCTTCAATCATCACTCAGTTTATATTCAACATTGTGTAGGGAATAATGGAGAGAAAAATTTGGAATGTAATCAATACTGAAGGCCTTTGATCATGGTATACACCACATTGAACATTAGAGAACTAATATTGGAGGGAAGTCTTATGAAAATAGAAAAGGCTTTAACTGGTACCCATACCTTACCAAACATCAGAGTGTTCACAGTAGGAAGGAATATATGCATGAAAGAGGCATAATTCAGAATACACCATTTATTCAACATCAGAGAATCCATAATGGAGAGAACCGTGAATGTAGTGAATGTAGAAAAACTTTTAGTAATTATTCAGCCCTTACTGTACATCACAGAATTCATACTGTAGAGAAACCATATGAATGCAATGACTGTGGGAAAGCCTTTAATCTCAGCTCATCTCTTTCTCAATGCCAGAGAATACATACTGGAGAAAAACCCCATGAATGTAATGGATGCAGGAAGGCTTTTATTCAGATAACACACTTTATTCAACATCAGCGAATTCACACTGGAGAGAAACCTTATGAATGTAATGAATGTGGGAAAGCCTTCACTCAAGTACATCCCATATTGAACATCAGTTTGTTCACACTGGAGAGAAGCCCTATGAATGTAATGAATATGGGAAAACCTTCAGTCACAATGCATCCCTTATTGTCCATCAGTTTGTTCACACTGGAGAGAAACCCTATGAATGTAATTAATGTAGAAAGGTTTTCAGCCAGAGCTCACACCTCTACCAACATCAGAGAACTCACACTGGAGAGAAACCGTATACCTGTAATGACTGTGAGAAAGCATTTAGTGATCGATCAGCCCTGATTCGACATCAGAGAATTCACACTAGAGAGAAACCCTACAAATGTAGAGAATGCGGTAAAGCTTTCAGTCAGAGCTCAACTCTCATATAACATACAAAAATCCACAATGGAGAGAAACGTTACACTTGTAAGGGTTGTGGGAAAGCCTTCAGCCAGAGTTCATCCCTTACTCAACATCAGAGGGTTCATACTGGAGAGAAACCATTTGAATGTCTTGAATGTGGAAAAGCCTTCAGTAGAAGTGCCCACCTAACTCAACATAGGAGAATTCACACTGGAGAGAAACCTTGTGTATGTAATGAATGTGGCAGAGCTTTCAGGTGTAGTTCAGCCCTCATTTGGCATCAGAGACATCACAGTGCAGAATCGCTCTGAATGTTCAGACTGTTTACCTTATTAAATACCAAAGGATTATACTTTCACAGGTTATTACAATTGTGATACTTTATTTTGAAGGCTGAAAATGCATCCCCCCCCCAATTTTTTCCTGCAAAGAAGTTTTAGCTGCCAAAATACCACAAATCCAAGTGAAAAAACACTTACCTGAAATCTGAAATAACCCAAGAAATTCTAAACACCAATCTTCATGTGTATGTGCATGTTTTTTTTTTACCTGTACCTGAAAATGACTAATGTTAGTCACCATGATCTAATTATTTTCCTGGCCCCAGGAATAGGCTATTTCAACATGCCAAGGAATTTCAGTTGTTTGAATTGAGCTTGTCATTTCTTGTACTGATTGGAATAGTCCCATGTACAAACTAAATAGAGAAACTCTTGGTTGATTATATATCCTAATCCACCTTCCTTTAAATCTCTGCCCTAACATATAATCATTCCTATCCCCAGAACACACCCTCCTGTGGACAGCTATTGTCTGTTTTACCTTGCCCTATTTTTTTTGCACCCCACAGAGGCAAGATGGACTGCTTCTCAATTAATAGACCAGTTATTGAGACTGATGACAATTTAGATACCAAGAGAATTTGAGAGAAAGTATTACACATACAAGGGACTTCTGAGGAGAGCAGGGAAGGTTCATGCCAGTCCAGAATGGCAAGAGCATAGAGCAGGTTGGGCCTTTTTAGTGGCTAGGGGTAGGGTTAGGAAAGTGTTCCCATGCATGAAATTTTGGGGATTCAAGTGGGATTCATGATCCAGTGCTAAGAGCTCAGGAGGAACGTATAAGTTTCCTTACCTAAAGTGCCTGGTGTGTGTGTGGGGTGGAAGAGTGGAAGCTCAAATGCTGCCAATGGCCAGACATAAAAAATGGAGTCAGACTCCTTATTATACCCACTTTCTCAGAAAATCTTTGTTCACTTAGCTCAAAATAACTCTTCAATATTACTGTATCTTTTGTTGAATCTATTTTGGTTTTACTATCTCCCCTCTAAAAGTCATCTTTCCCCAGGGCAGAAATTATAACTATCACTTCTCAGAAAATAAACATTATTTACCTTGGGAACCAGTAGCCTTACAAAATAATTACCATCTCATACAATCCTGACAGAGGAGTTGGGGGATGATCCAACACTTCTGGAAAATACTTCAGGAAAAGAAAGCCTATGAATTTGTATCAAACTATCACAGATTAAGTTACTTGGGGTTGTCTGATGAAAATTACTGTATATGGTCCTAAGAAGCTGTACTTGTACTTAATGAGCCAGGCATTAATTTTTGGTCACACTGTGAGTCTATACATATATGCAGTGTTCTTTCTTTCAGGTCATCCTAAGCTTAAATTCATTAGGGTCTTTTAGGTTCCATGAATTATTTTGTCTTCCTTTTTTTCTCTGTCCTACGCATTTTTCAGTTAGGTATGAGAATTATTGTGTAGGATTAGAAAGAAGTCTCTTGACTTTCCCGTATCATTCCTGATGTACTAGTCAGAACTTGAGATTTCTCTGCTTTATATTTTTCTCACTAAAAAGACTCCTTTCTCACCAACTTTCCTATTCTCTTCTATTTAAAACACTTCCATGGTGTTAGCTACAGATGGAAGTTCAACAGGATTTGAGTTTCAGAGCTGAAAAGTACAACTAAAGGTTGAGAAGGATTTTTTTTCTGCAAATTATCTGTAAGACAAAATATTCTGAAGGAATGGTTACATCTAGAAAAAAGATCTGAACCCCCTAAGATCCTTGGTAACTTTTAGAAATTGAAATGGTGGGAGTAAAAGTCAACTATAGCTACGTCTGTTATTAGAATGAGAGCTCTTAAACTGTTCTTTGTTAAGAACTTAGGTAACAAGGCCCTGAACGAGAACATTTCTTCCCTGGAGCCAGTTAGCTCTGTTGTGGAGAAACATATGCCCTTCCTTCAGAGGCTTCATTCTGTGATGACTGTTTAGAGTTAAGACTCAGGACAAGTGTCTGAATAAAAGGCCTGTTGTAGAATGTGTGGATTGCACTGTAATGAATTGGTTTAATTCTGGTGTAATCTAGTTTGGATCCTGAAATACTAAAATTTCTAGAACATAATATTTGAAATCTTAAGTTCCAGTTCCAGAAATATTTGAAATCTTAAGTTCCAGTTTCAGAAATCTTGGCTGTTGGACTTCAAGGTTTTAGTCAATACTCTTTTTTTTTATATTTTGATCAGCTTTTGGAAGATAATCTGGATTCTTCAGTTTTTCAGTCATGCAAGTCAAAATTTCTACTTCCTGTGGTTAAAACTGCTTATGTTTGATGTGTTCAGTGAGAATTGATTTACATATTTTATGTATGAATTGGTTTAATTCTGGTGTAATCTAGTTTGGATCCTGAAATACTAAAATTTCTAGAACATAATATTTGAAATCTTAAGTTCCAGTTCCAGAAATATTTGAAATCTTAAGTTCCAGTTTCAGAAATCTTGGCTGTTGGACTTCAAGGTTTTAGTCAATACTCTTTTTTTTATATTTTGATCAGCTTTTGGAAGATAATCTGGATTCTTCAGTTTTTCAGTCATGCAAGTCAAAATTTCTACTTCCTGTGGTTAAAACTGCTTATGTTTGATGTGTTCAGTGAGAATTGATTTACATATTTTATGTTAACTTCCTCCAAGGAGCTTGGATAGTTTTCATTGTCTTATGAGGTCACTGTATGGTGCTTTGCACATGGTTTAAAAAATTCATATAGAATAGAGTTACTCAGTGAAAGTCATTCCTCTAGTGCCTTTGGATACATGTCATAGATGATTTCTGGATGTTTTTCCAAGAATCATGAATACAAAATATAGTGGCTTGAGATAAACATCTTGGGGAAATCATATCATACTTATATTTTACTTCATAAGAATTCAACCATATTCACCAAGATCCCTCCAAATCCCCACAGATACATAAATCAGTGAAATTAAAAATACTTGAAGATTATATTTTGCATATAACATTTCTATTATTTACTAATAAATTTATACAAACAAGCACATACTAGCATTGTTATCAGAGTTATATACAAAACAATATATATGCATTTTATGGGCAACTTAAGAGATTTATAAGGGCATTATTGTTAATACTCAATTTCATCTTATTTGCTGACTCCAGAAGCTGACTTTGTATAAGATTTCGCCTCCAAAGAATCCAGAGGCACAGCCAATACACTTGTGTAATAGTTTATTCCTTTGGGTGAATGTTTTTGCTTGGTTTTCCAAGGTTGATGATATCAGAAGATATGCCACTTCATCCTGGTAGGAAGGTTGCTGTCATACAGCAATGTGGATAACTGAGAAACACTTTTGGTTAACCAAGGTAAAAATACATTTCCCAAAGTAAACCTGGCCTTGGGTATCTGGATAATTGCCTCAGTTTATAACAGACCTACTTTAAATCTTTTGTGTAGCAAATGTAAAGTAGAAGAGATACCTGGTTTTTATACTTATGCTAGAAATGCAACTTGAGAAGTGTTGATATTCTATTTCTTTCCTTTTTTAAAAATTTTAATTTTAATTTTTATTTCTTTCCTTTTTATAAGTATGAGGTAAGGTAGAATTCAGTGTGCAGACTACCTTTTTAAAAAAATATCTCCCCAAACCTTTTACAGATTTCCCTGACAACAAAGTAATAGTTAATACTTAAAATTTATTATGTGCTAGACACTGTTCAGGCACTCTTATGTGCATCACTGTATTCATTCTACCCAAAAGTGCTCTGAGGTAGGTACTCATACTATCCCTATTTGCTAGATGAGGCAGCTCAGAAAAGACAAGTCATGGTCTACTGGTAAGCAATGTGGAGCTGAGATTTAAACTCAGTCCAGCCCAAGAGTCCTTGTTCTTAGCCTTTTTGCTCTACTGCCTCCTTGCACATGTGTGTATATATGTGTGACCCTGAGGTGTGTTGAAAGCCTTCTGAGTGTGCCAATCACCAGGGCATGTGGTAACAATGGGGCTGCCTTCTAAAATGATGGAAGCATAAGTGACTGGCAGGATTACTGATGTCAAAACTTGCTTTTCTCCATGCTACACAACTTGGTAAGCCTTAGGAAAGACAATATGCCAGGAGTAGAGGGGTTCTATGTTGACTTGGGGGCAAAACTCTTTGGATCTAACTCTAAACATCAAGACACCATCCAAAGGGAGCCTCGGTGGCCAAAGACAGTATCATCTGGGACTTGTTCATGTTCAGGTTCCAGAAGAAAGAGATCTGGACTAAAAGTCCCCAGGCATTTATATCTACTAGGGGAACTGCTAAAAATGTAGTAAGGTACTAAATAACATACTACAAGTTAGAGAGTGGTTTTAATTGGATAGAACAGCTCAAAGGTACCTACCGGTCTGTTTTAGAGATGCCAGTGTTTTTGGTAGCTCCCACATGGTCCTTAAGATTCTGTGACAAGGTCACTCGCTTCTAAGACTAGAAAGAGGACATTTTGGGGGCTGATTTTCCTTTTTGAGGATTTTCTGAGGTATGCCTTCTCCCTTTCAGTTGTACTTGATTATTGACATAGTAATCTCAGGAGAAGAGATTCAGAGGCTTTGGAGTAAATTCAAAAGGCCAGAGGAGTGCTGGAGGAAAAGAAAGAGCAAATAGCTAGATTTGCTTCCTTTTATTTCTTGTTATATTAGGAGTATGGAGTGTGGATACTGCGAAATTATTCCTAATATTTGTTATTATCCCCTGTTTACAATGAGGGGAATGAGGTCTCCAACAGAGGGGAAAGGGTTGAAATCGTAGATCAATTAGGGGATCTGGAGTCCTTTCCTCTAAAGCTGATTCGAGCAGTGGGCAGTCGCAGGCGCTGAGCATGAACGCCCCCTCGTCAGGAGCACACTTGCCTTTTCCCTCACAGAAGGCTCTTTGTAACCTGGCTACAAGGTTGTCCAACTTCTCTATTTTGGGAGGATATTTCCTTTTACATCCTTAGGTCGCTTCCCTCGCGGACTTCGAAAAA